CTACGCATGTGCAAACTACAATGAACGAAAAACAAAATCAGTAATTATAGGGGCGTGGTCCCAGGAATACAAAGTTAGAGGCGGGAGATTCAAAAAACGTTAAACATTAGTCATAAAATATCTGAAAGTAAAAATAACAAACAGTAAATACATATTAAATAACAGAGAGTAGAACATACAAATTGACTAACCATAAAATGTATTCATATTAAAATGGCATTTGTTATCATCAATAGTGTGATGAATCGATTTACTTTGAAGGCTAATAGAACCAAATGAGTTAAGTACAGGGTGTCCAATAAATAAGGTGAAAGATATTGTAAATTTCTAAATATTGCACCAATCTTGATGAAATTTTCAGAGTTTGTAGTAAATTTATGCTGTAAATTTAAAGCGCTTTCTATTTGATTGGCCAGAGTTGTGATTGCTAGAACAACCAAAACAACAAAAAGGCGGGGCAAGTTTATTTACGTCACAACTTTCCAAAACATATTTCTTCTTTCTGATAGCTTTATTCATACTCCCAGGTCTATAACTACCACAAATACAATATAAAAACAGTCCTAAAGTCCATTGTTATGAAAATAAGCTATTCAACAGAGTGTCCATCTCTCGCTATACACTTCTTATTCCTATTCACCCACTCTCTAAACACACTTTCAAACCCATTTTTGCCCATTTCCTGAAGTCTTGCTTAGACATGTGATCTGAGTTCATAGGTGCTTCCAAATTTATTTCCTTTCAAGTCATGCTTGAGTTCTGCATATAAGTAAAAGTCATTGGGTGCAAGGTCTGGGGAATATGGAGGGTGTGCAAGTAGGGGTAGCCCCAGTGCCCTAATAGTTTCACTAGTAAGCATAGCTTTGTGTGAACTCAGATCACATGTCTTAGCAAGACTTCAGGAAATGGGCAAGAATGGGTTTGAAAGTGTGTTTAGAGAGTGGGTAAATAGGCATACGAAGTGTATAGCTAGAGATGGACATTATGTTGAATAGCTTATTTTCATAACAATGGGACTTTAGGACTGTTTTTATTTTATATTGTATTTGTGGTAGTAATAGACCTCAGAGTATGAATAAAGCTATCAGAAAGAATAAATATGTTTTGGAAAGTTGTGACGTAAACAAACTTGCCCCGCCCTTTTGTTGTTTTAGTTGCTATAGCAACCACAACTCTGGCCAATCAAATAGAAGACGCTTTAACCTCTTGAATACCCAGAGTGACGGATATATCCGTCACAAATAAAATAAGACTGGTGCCCAGAGGGACGAGAAAATCCGTCACAAAATTTTTCACAAAAATTGCTCTCATTTGAACAATTTTCATCCAATTTACACAAAAATTGTTTTAAAACGTGTAGAAATGATCTCTGCCGTCCAATTTTACTAAGCTGAGCATCTAAAATTGTATAGATATGTAATTAAATGTCAAAAGGTGGCAAAAAATGAAAAATTCTCTGGTTTCATGCCAATTTTAGAGCCTGGGATTCAAGAGGTTAAATTCACAGAATAAAGATAAAAAGGATTCGACACTCTGAAAATTTCATCAAGATTGGTGCAATATTAAGAAAGTTACAATATCTTTCACCTTATTTATTGGACACCTTGCATATGGATTATGACATAACATAATTATTATATTTTATAATGAAACGTTCATTTTTCAATTTTAACCTCTCTTTATTTTAAGTAGAATAGCACACATATTTTGATGTACAAAATTGCCTATTTCTCAAAGGTTGAAGAAAAAAGCTGTTTGCTCAGTAGTGGCTTGCATTTAATCAAAGAGACAACCAAAATCTTGCAAAACATCACCTCATCTGAGATCGTCCCAGATCCCACGGAGGGCATCACTTTACACAGTTCAACGAAGGCCTGATCCATCCATTTTGCATGCAATGGCTTCACCACCGTGCTGTTGATAGAGATTGCCTTAATTTCCCCATCATCGAATCTAAAGGATTTGGACATTTCCTCAGCATACCTACCAGGATACAAAATGCGACATTGGCATTTTGGCAAATGATTTTGCAAAAAATGAAGCTAACTAAAAGTAATTTTCAAAGCTTACCATTCTGAAATTTCTTCTTCATGCAATCTTTGAACACCTTGTTAACCTGCAGATCTAGAGGCTGTAATTTATCAGTGCAGTTTGCTGGGATGTTCAGAGATAAGAAACTGTGCTTCTTCAGTAGTGACCTTACAGATTTGGTGCAATGGGCTGTCTGATTCTGCCGGCTTAGAGGTAATTCCTCCCGTACACTCTCCACATGGGTAACCACAACCTTGTTAATTAATAAACTCGATAGATAGATCATAGATTCTTCATTGTTTCCGTGATTTCCAGTGTGTTTAATATTCCAATGGCTTGGAAAGTCATACCTTGCATGACAAAGATTTGTCTTGCCTTGGTAAATAACTTGATAAAGGCACATTGCTGGCTGAGCACTAAAAGTAAAGAGGAGTCAACTGCCGCATATCGAACTTTTCTTTTCCACCCTCCATTGAGATTCTGGTATCAGGTTCACATCTGTTTGGTCCCAGTTAAAAATCATATTACAGACCCTAACAGAGAGTAGAACATATGAATTGACTTTTATTTCTTTTTGAAACAAATGTAAACCTTTATATAAATTTTGTGATATCACACTGATATAACCATAAAACGTATCCATATTAAAATGGCATTTGTAATCATCGATAGTGTGATGAATCGATTTAGTTTGAAGGCGTATTAGGATCAAGTGAGGTTCAGTTAACAATGAGTTAAGTATATGGATTATGACATAACATATTTATTATATTTTATAATGAAACTCATTTTTCAATTTTAAGTAGAATACCTGTAGCTTTTCTTCAACAGTATGTTGATGATTCTTAGCTTCGCAGCCTTGTGATGTCACACATATTTTGAAGGACAATTTGCCTTTTTCTTGAAGGTTTAAGAAAAAATCTGTTTGCTCAGTAGTGGCTTGTATTGAATCAAAGAGACAACCAAAATCCTGCAAAACATCACCTCATCTGACATCGTCCCAGATCCCACAGAGCTCATCACTTTACACAGTTCAACGAAGGCCTGATCCATCCATTTTGCATGCAATGGCTTCACCACTGTGCTGTTGATAGAGATTAATTTCCCTATCATCAGATCTAACAGATTTGGCCACCTATATAGGATACCTACCAGAATAAAAAAGCGACATTGGCATTTTGGCAAATGATTTTGCAAAAAATGAAGCTAACCAAAAGTAATTTTTAAAGCTTCCCATTCTGAAAATTTCTTCTTCACGCAGTCTTTGTACACATTGTTCACCTGCAGATCTAGAGGCTGTATCAGTGCAGTTTGCTGGGATGTTCACAGATAAGATATTGTGCTTCTTCAGTAGTGACCTTAGGCAAATCCTCTCGTACACTCCACATGGGGAACCACAATCTTGTTAATAAACTCAAGAGATAGGTAGAACATAGATTCTTCGTTGCTCCAGTGATTTTCAGTGTGCGTAATATTTTATTCACTTGGAAAGTCATACCTTGCATGACAAAGATTTGTCTTGCCTTGGTAGATAACTTGATTAGGGCACATTGCTGGATGAGCAGTCATAGTATAGAGGACAGTCAAATGCCGCTTATCGTCCTTTGCCGCTTATCGTCCTTTGCCTTTCTTTCCCATCCTCCATTGGGAAACGTTCTCTTTGCTCCAGTGATTTTCAGTGTGTTTAATATTCCAATCACTTGGAAAGTCATACCTTGCATGACAAAGATCTGCTTGCCTTGGTAGATAACTTGATTATGGCAAATTGCTGGATGAGCAGTCATAGTAAAGAGGGGAGTCAACTGCCGCTTATTGTCCTTTGTCTTCCTTTTCCATCCTCCATTTGGGAAACTGATTCCTCTATGCTCCAGTGATTTTCAGTGTGTTTAATATTCCAATCATTTGGAAAGTCATACCTTGCATGACAAAGATCTGCTTGCCTTGGTAGATAACTTGATTATGGCAAATTGCTGGATGAGCAGTCATAGTAAAGAGGGGAGTCAACTGCCGCTTATTGTCCTTTGTCTTCCTTTTCCATCTTCCATTGGGAGACTGATATCAGACTGATATCTGTTTTGTCAAAGTTAAAAATCATATTACTTTGAATTTCATGCTCTCGACGATTGTGTGCACCTTTTCCAAGAATTCGGCTTTTATAACTTAGAATTTGCTTGTAATGTTTTGACAGCTCTTGTTGCCTTCAGTGTAGTCATTAAGGGGGAAAAAGAGACTGGTCATATGGACCTGTTGATCATCAAAGTTAAGTGGTCCGTATCAAAATAGGCTGGACAAAATGACCAGCACCTCAAAAAAGTCCCTGGTCCGTATGAAATGTTACTGGTCAATCAAAATCTTGTTAAACAAGCTGTTAGTTTTATCCTTCTTTGCCTCCTTGGCATTTTTGTGGATGGATACTTTAAAGTTATTACAACCTTGCACAAGAGTTCCCTGGCTGTATTGCCTGAATTTATTAGCAGTGTTGTTTTCACTTGAATAGAATGGCTTATACATTGCCCTGCATATTTTACAAAACATTTTTTTAGTTTGGGTATCATAGAAAACCCAATCAAATTGCTTACTCCAACCCGGAACAAACTTCCTGTCTTGTTTATTTTCATAATCTAATAATATAATCAATATCTCATAATCGTATTTCGCCTTTTTATTTGGGGGATTATCAGGTTTTTTCTCTTCCAATTTTTTTTTGAAAATGGGCCATCTTTTCTTTGCTGAACAAGAATCTCTAAAACGAACTAGAAATTGATTTGCTATATCGACTTTCGAAACATGTTATATTGTACGTTCGGTAATTTAATGTACCATTTCGCTATACCGGTTTATAATCGGTTGTTAGAAAAAAATTAAAAACAAAAAAATGTTTTTATGAATTCTTGTTTATAATTAAAATCTGGCGATTTAATCATCGACAACTCAAATAATTAGGAGAATAACAGCATGGACATTAATTCTACTGCTAGGTAGGCGATTAAATATCATGCTGGTCCAAATGTCCGGCACTTTTGCAAACATTGCCGGACCGTGGCTCAATCTACTGGACAATGTCCGCCGGGAAGGCCATTAATGACTACACTGGTTGCCTTGTGTTTCACAAATCCAAGACGTTTTAAAAGGGATCTCACCCATTCCCTTTTTAAATCACATGGCTCACAGAATTCAGGCAACAAATGTTTATTTTTGACAGCAAAATGCCCTGGGCAGCTGCAGAGACAATACACATGTTCACAATCACACCACTTCCGCGGATATTCTCAATGTACTGGCACACATCAGCAAATTGCTCTCCAAATTGGAGGAAATAAAGGATTATATCATATATCATATCATCCAGTTCACCTTATTTTAATGGCCGTCCACTCCGAACAGGAGAAAGATGCAAATGTTTCATCACATGAACAGAGCTTGCACTCATTTCGAATTTTCCTTGGTGTTGTTGATATCTAGTTATTATATATATTTGACAATTGTGCTTAGATGTTTACTTGATTCTCTGTGAAATTGTTTGAATAAATCATTATTGCAAGTCCTTGATAGCCATGGAATTGAAACATCGAAATGATGTGATTTGTATATGAATGATCCGCCTTCCTCATCAATGATTCTGATAGAATTGCTCAGATTTTAAATTTAATAGCTTATTAACATTAAATTATTTCATTTCGATTATCAGAATCTATCTTACATCCCCTTGAAATTATCTACACTTTCTACCATCACTGTCCCTCAGGGAGACCGTTTCAGTCTCCAATAACTGTTACTAAGGGCCTCTCTTCTAGGTGTGGTTTTAGAGTGATGTTTAAACAACTTAAGGAGTGGCCCCCGGTGGTTTTAGTAGTAGACATGGTAGAAAGAGAGCTAGGCTCAATATTGTCTGTTCCATAATTATATAGCTGTAACATATCGCCTCTTATTTCTCTATGAAAATGAAATTTTAAATCTTTTGAGTCTATTTTGATAAGGCATATATTTTTTCTTTTCTCATTGTTATAGGTATGAAATGATTTGTCACAAAATATATGACGTGTTGATGAGTGTAAAAGTTTCAAATTCTTGTACACATGATGGTGATTTCTTCAAACAAAACAGGATCAACTGGATATATTGTCACATTACTAATTCACGGTGTTATAGCATGACAACTACGTCAAGGCGATTTGCAAAATTTTGCGGTAACGATAACAAAAAATGGCGGATGGGAAATGCAGCATGTCCTCTTTCTCGCCTGTAGGCAATATTCATAGATAAGATTTCCTTTTAAACTAGTTCCATTCGGTGACGGATATATGGATGGTTATAAAGACTGGGTCAAATCTGCCAGGTGGTCTACAAGAAACAGAATATAAGGTGTGAACCTAACGACTGAGATATCCAAGTTCATTATTTTTGGTCCATTCTCATGTTTTCTCAGCACATGTGCCTCAGAGCCTCAAAATATTAACTGTAAGTAAACTGTGTATAAACAATGCATAAATTGACTAATCCAGAACAGGAACAGGAATATCTTAAATAATAAGGTTTCAAACGCAATGTTGTTAGACGACTACGTATGACTTCTATTGAATTCTATGGACGGTAACGTATAGTATTAGTTGTACATAAGATATTTAGCGGACGGTTACGTGCATGTACGTCTGTCAAGTCAAGGTTGCTAGATCTTATAGCCTCTTTCCAAGTTATTGTTATAATGGGTAAAAAATGGAATATTGAATTTCCTATATTTGTTTTCAGGACTCACAAGAGACGCTCTTGTTTCAGCCTCTATAGGGCAAGGAAAAAAACTGTCGCTTGCTTTATTTATGAAACCAATGAAAGTGTAAAAGATAGCAATGAAGAGGCAAAAGAAGATTTAGAATCAAGTCCTGATGAAGATGACCGAAGTAATAACAATGAATCAGGGTTCTATGTTTGAATCAGGTTCGCGTAACCGTCCATCAATTTTTTACGTTACCACAAATTCAAAATACATTATTATGGCTTGAGTTTCGGATGCTCAATTTGCTTTGTATGATTGTATATAGGTTATACAAAACGTCCACCCTTTCATTGATACACTGACAATAATGCACCAACCCTAGTTTTGTCTTCCATCGTGGCCATTTTATTTGATAAATCAGTGAACCTAGCCGTCCAACCTCATTTTCAGAGGTGGCATAACTGTCATGCTATAACACTGTGTAATTGCTCTATTGGATTCATCCCAAAAAGTTGTCATAATCGGTCTCTTGGGGAAATTTGGCCAATGCTACCATATGGATTGGACCACTCTGTTGTTTGCATCAGTTGATGTAAGATTTGCCAGATCACTAAAATATCTTACAGTGTAATTTATACCCGTATAAACCTTACACATTTCTTTACTTTCATGTTTACTTCTTCTACTGAGGATCCCTCATCTTGTAATAGGGTAGTTATTTTGTTAATTTTTTCAGTAAAAAATTGTGGTAAAAGTCTTATAATGCCTCTTCTTGCTTTAGTAAAATTGCCTGGAGTGAATTCCTTAAAGTAATAAAATGTGCATGTGCATTTTTAAAGCAACCTTGTTTTCAAAGTCAGTTTCTTCAATGACTTCTAGTGTTGGAGGGTCTTCAGAAATTGCACTATAGTATGCACTTTTGCACTCTAGTATATGATATATATGGAGTTGAAAGTGGTTGCCATTCAGATGATATTGTTTTTATACAACAAAATTGTCTATTTGGTGGAATTCTGTACTGAAAAGGGAATCTAGATTTAATATCTAGGTCTAAATATAATTTTTACTCTCTTAAAGACCTAAATAATCAAAATAATCCCCCCAGACTCCAATTTGTGCTAATGGCATGAAGAAAATGTATAATACTAATAATGAAAGAGGAACATCAAAAGTTTGTGGAGGTATCTGGGCAATGCCATTTTGTTTTTGCCAGAATTAATCATTTTTTCCAGGGGATACTTGTAAGTTATCGGCAACTTGATAGTTCTCTTTGCTTTGTTTACATCTTATAAAACTCCATTGACCAGTTTTCTGTATCATACCTGTCTGGGACTTCAAAGATGGTACTGGCATCAAAAGATGCTGCTTGTTGTAACTATTTGCTATGGCAATAAATTATGTGGTATTGGTATTGCTAAAAGTATTGACAACTGACATTGCACCTTAAATGAATACCATGTTGAGAGGGACCTCTTGATGTCGAAGTACTCGGAAAGTGCTTGATTCTTTTTTAATTCTGTGCTGGGTCACTTTTTACAAAATTGTTCCTTGTAATTCAGCTATTTTTCTAATTTGGATCTTTCAAATGAATCTTATCTTATATGTTTTGGAAGATATCTGTTTTAAAAAAAACATGTTGGACATGTAAGCCTTCTTGGATTTTGGTTCCATTTTGTTTTTAGTTGAGATTAATCTGATCTGGAAGTACAAAATTAACCACAAGCTAACAACTGATTTTAATCCATTATTTTGATATGACCATTAAGAATCTTACTTAAGCTAATATTTAGTTACTTAAATCAAATTGTTTTATAAATACAGATGTAGTTATTTCTAGTTCATCTAAACTCATTTCTATAATAGATTCAATTATTTTAAAATACATACCCTCTGTATCAAAAGTCTGTTCCTATTAAAGAAAACCTCATGTAACTTTAGTAAATGGCAATTGCTCTGTAAAACTAAGTGGACAATAGTCTTTATATTTAAAATGCAAATTATGAGCAATCGGAATATGTTATAGACTTTACAAATGATCCTGTTCATGACAGTCGTATATTTCATAAAATATTAAGATATCACTGAAAACTGTGTAATAAAAATGCAAAAGCCCTTTTCCTAAGAGTTGCTTCAACCAATACTTGAATAATTAGCTCACATGGAATTTGTAAGTAGTTGGGTATTTGAGCATTTGCTAATACATTCCCCATTCTTGTTTCTTCTTAGTACTTTTGTACTTGAGGTCAAAACAGTCCAAAATCTCTTCCATAAAGGGCCTGTGTTGTTTGTCACCCTTCGAGTAAAAGCATAGTGTTTTATTCATCTCCGGCAACAAGGAATCACCTTTGGCCAAAACTCAGAATTTTACCTAATTGAGCATTCGACTCGGCTTCCTTAGACTAGCCATTTTCCCTGACAAACGAGAAGATTTGAGAAGTAAATGATCATTCATGTATTGATTTTCTTCAATTGCCCTGATAACTGTTTCAGAGATTCTTGACAAGCAAGGTTGAACAGGGTGTAGCATCATTGATGTAAATCATCAATGGTGTGCGATGGGACCATCTCAATGGTTTGTAAAACATGATTTTGAGCAACCAATCTTCAGTTATTAAGTGACACAACCCCCACTCAAGTGCCCAGGGGTATTACAACCGCTTTGAATCCAAGTAATTTAAATATGCCATCACTACCAACAGTTAAATACCAATACATTCAATAGAAAATTAATACGGGGTGGTCCAAAAAATGGAGCTCTCTAATTTAAAAAATAAACATTAATTTTGTTGATAAAAACAAGTCATATTATATACCAGTGTATAAGGAATTTAATCAACTTAAATCAATTTTTTTGTAATGCATGTGAACCAGCGTTCATAATACAAATGTCATCATTTTAAAACTGTTTTTCAAAAACTTGCAGATACCAAGTTTTTTGGCAACAGAAACAGATGTTCAATATGTCCTCCTCATTTCAAAATGAGCCATTTTCTGTCTTGGTGAGTGTACAATAAAAGTTATTTTTACCCCCAGTTCCCTCTAGCCTATTTGTTTAATTACTGAAAGCTATCAAATCTTGAATGTCAAAACTATCAATTTTATCCTAATTGTATTGTCTACATATAGGGTTAAGTGGATTTTGAAGAGCTTACAAAATAATTCTTATGGGTATGTGACAATCTTACAAAACAGCATTATACAAAACAAATACACATATTCAAGTTTTGCAGGAAGACATTTACTTGGAGTCAGTTAAGCAATTTATTTTCTAGGCAAATCATACACAAATATTTCATCTACAAATCAACATTTTTGAGTGAATATATTTATGTTTAAGTTTAAATAATTGCTGTTATGTCATTTAAACTGGGAGTTGTCTGGAGGGCTTCTAGGATTTTCAAAACACCCCGATCCAAGTTATAATGTAAAGCGGATCAAACAGGCTAAACATTGGATTATAAAGATGAATGAGTCATCTATACCATAATAGCACTTTATATGCGATATGTCCTTCTCATGCTGCAATAAGCTCAAAGTTCTTCAAGCAAATTCAAGCAAAGTGTCTGACATCTTCCAGGTGTCAACGCCTTTTTCTTTGCCACATATTCTGGTCTTTGCCATGTTCCTAAGTTTTCCATCAATTACCAGAAATGTTTATACAGCTTTTTCCTCTTGATGTGATTCCTATATGATGGGCTATTTCCTTATCCAAACCAAGCCTGGGAACAACTGATATCTGCCCCACACATTTCAAGGAAGCAATGTTCACTGACCATATTATTACCACCTTGCTGGGCAAGTTCTCGGGGTTTTAGTGCTAGTTTAGAAGGAATTCATTTTACTATATCGACCTGAGCAATATGTGACGTCATAGTGGTGGTCAAGAATGCATTAACAACTGGTCAAGAATGCATTTAATGACTGGCAATTTTCCCGGGAAATTAGATAACGTTCAGTGCATAAGATTTTCTTGCTGTTTCAGTCCTTGTGGTTAACGGTGGTAATAATACTAAAAACCTCATTTCTGCGGGCAATATAGTGAAATAAGGGACCTTGGGCCTTCGGGACTCTGTCCAATATTTCACTATATTGCCCTTAGAAATTATGTTATTGTACTATTGTAAGAGTGTCCATATACATAATGACTTGATATATATATATATATATATATGTATTTGTAAATATTAATGCATTTTCATTCAGTTCTAAAAACATAAGGGCAACAAAAACAAACAATTCAACAAACGAATCCTTTCAATAGTTATTATATCGGTTATTTTGGAATACAAAAACAACGAGGCAGTGCTAGCATTTAGTTAACACTTTGGTCAACATAGTTAATTTTTCAAGTCCCTTTAAGGTCCGAAAAATATGATGTTGAAGTTCAGTTGATTCAAAAATAGTTTAACAAATGGTGACTTGTTACAATAACTTATTTCACTTTTAAACAAATTAATAGTTTCGTTTCATTAAACTGACTAATTGTAGCTCTTCATTAAACCAACTCCTTCCCACCTTTCGGCAAAACGTGTTGTCATTACACTAATAAGAACATAGTACAAACAATTGTAAATCAGCAAAACTGTAAATGATGAACAGGTCTTGCATCAAGCTCTTGAGTTTATAATTTCCTTTCAATCAAACTTGCCACAGGGTAGATAGTATCACAAGGCAACCAGAGATTTGTTGCAAGACTAAAGCTAAAGTGGTAAAGGCAATTTGAAATTAAAAGTCTTAATAAAAATAAATTTGTAATCAACAATGTCATATTCCATAATCTTTCCAGGAACATTGTTTCACAACCCTACCATTTTTAATCATACTTTAAATCTATACTGTTGATATTACCCACATGGTTGATAGTTGACAGGAAACCCTTAAATTCAGGGGGTGCAATCGAAAGATTTGGCCATCCATCTTTCGTTTATCAGGTGGTGCTATGGTTGCAAATGTTGGAGAGACTCCTTACATATTGACAGCAGGAAAAGATCACTGTCATCATATGAGATGGTGTCACTTGTTTTTGGGCTGTAGCATTGTTGAAATAGTGAATATCTAAGGTTGTTTACATGTCAGTTTTCTTGTCTTCTGAATGTAACATACAGCCAAAATATTCTATGTTCATTTTGGTGTCTGTTTAAGAACATGCTTTCGCTTCTTAAAATACGAAGAGGTTGGAGTCTGTCCTTCCAAACAAATGTGCTGGTGGAGTCACATCCAGTAAATGCGTGGAATCCTGCATCCTTCTCTTCTTGCAAGTCTACACTTTTTTGTTTCTTCAACAAATCATACATGATCCCTGGGATCAAGACTGTCATTCCATACTGTTGCAACTGTAAATTGCCCTCCTTGATTCTTGGGCCAATCTTGGAACCAAGGCCACTAAATCCTGATGTCACTGTACCATTTTCTACAGATTGAAACGATTGAAACCACTACAATATCTCATAAGTCTTTAGAAGCACAAATGGTGATCAATACCATGCGAACTTGATCGTTGTTTAAGTTATTTGTTTAAAGTCAGAATATGTAATGGTAATTAATTAAGCTGAGTTAGCATTTGATTTGCCTGGTGATTAAGTCCAAAATATCTTGGCAAATATCTATTATTAATTTATTAAACCTTAGGACATACTCTTGACATTTTTATTTTTCAGTTCCTCCTTTATTCTAGAGTCCTTCGGTTCTATCCATCTCTGGCTCTTATGGTTGCAATTGGGGGTCTTCCACAGAGTCAATTTAGTGACTCATGGGTGCAGCTGGTTGGCCATACTGGCTCTTATGGTTGCAATTGGGGGTCTTCCACAGAGTCAATTTAGTGACTCATGGGTGCAGCTGGTTGGCCATCTACATGATCAACTTAGTGTGTCATGGGTACAGCTGGTGGGCAATCTACAGGGTCAACTTGGTGTCTCATGGGTGCAGCTGGTGGGTCTTCTACAGGGTTAACTTGGTGTATCATGGGTGCAGCTGGTGGGTCTTCTACAGGGTTAACTTGGTGTATCATGGGTGCAGTCAATTTAGTGACTCATGGGTGCAGCTGGTTGGCCATCTGGCTCTTATGGTTGCAATTGGGGGTCTTCCACAGAGTCAATTTAGTGACTCATGGGTGCAGCTGGTTGGCCATCTACATGATCAACTTAGTGTGTCATGGGTACAGCTGGTGGGCAATCTACAGGGTCAACTTGGTGTCTCATGGGTGCAGCTGGTGGGTCTTCTACAAGGTCAACTTGGTGTAACATGGGTGTTTCCCATGTCATATTCCTTTTGATAAATAATTAGTTTCCAAAACAACTTAGCAAAAAAAATTATTATTTAATTAAATCATACAGTTATATTTTGCTACTATTGCTGGAGTAAACCCAGCTTATAAGAAAATCATACATACGATTTACAAGTCTGAATAAAATGACAAATATTACATGGTCATTAAGTGATCTGAGTTGGTCATTGATTTGTCTAGGTGATTTAGTTTCCAAAACAACTTAGCAAAAGCTATGTGTTAATTATTTGATTATATCTTACAGTTATGTTTTGCTACTTGAACTATTGCTGGAGTTGTTGCCCAACTTAAAGAAAATCATACATACTCTTTTACTCTCTTTTTCTGTAGCAGTTGTTTAGGGAAACTTTCAATTAAGTGATCTTAGTTAATCATTGATTTTTCTGAGTGATTTGTTTCAAAATCAAGTTAGCAAAAGCTGTTTTATTATTTTTTTTATATTTTACAGTTACGTTTTGCTACTTGAACTATTGCTGGAGTTGTTTCCCAGCTTATAAGAAAATCATAGATACGCTTTACTCTTTTTTCTCTAGTAGCTTAAGGTGAGGACATATTCTTGACTTCAATTTATTGAGGGAGTCATTGGAAGTCAGTTCTACCTTATTTAAACATATGAAATGTTGTTATTTGCTATTTCTCAGTGTAAATAAACAATGGTATTTCGCTTATCTTGTATTGTTGGTTCTGGGCTCTATAGAGTTGAGGTGATTTCATTAGCTTGACCTTTCAACCCTGACTTACTTGCAGATATGTGTAACTCACTTCTCTCTACCCTTTCCATATCTGGTGGATCACTTGCCATATATGGTGGATCACTTGCCATTTATGGTGGATCACTTGCCATATATGGTGGATCACTTGCCATATATGGTGGATCACTTGCCATATCTGGTGGATCACTTGCCATATATGGTGGATCACTTGCCATATATGGTTAAGACGCTTGATACATCAGCCAGGGTATATAACCAACATCACTGATTTCACTGTAACTCACTTCTCTCCACCCTCTCTTTATATCTGGTGGATCAATTGCCATATATGGTGGATCACTTGCCATATATGGTTAAGACACTTGATACATCAGCCAGGGTATATAACCAACATCACTGATTTCATCAGAGTCACACTTATATCAACCACTCAAGATATGCTACCTTTTGCACAAAGCCAGCCAAAGCAAACAATAGGTTATAGGAAAAACTTGTTTTTTAAATGATTACATAAACATAACAGAATATATTTTTGAATGACATATTTTTAGTTTTCTAGAGACAAGATTTTCAAGTCCTAAGATGTGTTCCCGTGTATGTTTTATGTTTAATATTCCATGTAGCATATGTATAAATGCATTGAATTTGTATATTGGGTTCTGGGCTCTATAGTGTTAAAGTGATTTCATTAGCTTGACCTCTCAACCCTGACTCACTTGCAGGTATGTGTAACTCACTTCTCTCTACCCTTTCCATATCTGGTGGATCACTTGCCATATATGGTGGATCACTTGCCATATATGGTTAAGACACTTGATACATCAGCCAGGGTATATAACCAACATCACTGATTTCACTGTAACTTACTTCTCTCTACCCTCTCCATATATGGTGGATCACTTGCCATATATGGTGGATCACTTGCCATATATGGTTAAGACACTTGATACATCAGCCAGGGTATATAACCAACATCACTGATTTCACTGTAACTTACTTCTCTCTACCCTCTCCATATATGGTGGATCACTTGCCATATATGGTGGATCACTTGCCATATATGGTTAAGACACTTGATACATCAGCCAGGGTATATAACCAACATCACTGATTTCACTGTAACTTACTTCTCTCTACCCTCTCCATATATGGTGGATCACTTGCCATATATGGTGGATCACTTGCCATATATGGTGGATCACTTGCCATATATGGTTAAGACACTTGATACATCAGCCAGGGTATATAACCAACATCACTGATTTCACTGTAACTCACTTCTCTCCACCCTCTCTTTATATCTGGTGGATCACTTGCCATATATGGTGGATCACTTGCCATATATGGTTAAGACACTTGATACATCAGCCAGGGTATATAACCAACATCACTGATTTCACTGTAACTCACTTCTCTCCACCCTCTCTTTATATCTGGTGGATCACTTGCCATATATGGTGGATCACTTGCCATATATGGTTAAGACACTTGATACATCAGCCAGGGTATATAACCAACATCACTGATTTCATCAGAGTCACTCTTATATCAACCACTCAGGATAAACTACCTTTTGCACAAAGCCAGCCAAAGCAAACAATAGGTCATAGGAATAAACTTGTTTTTTAAATGATTACATAAACATAACAGAATATATTTTTGAATGACATATTTTTAGTTTTCTAGAGACAAGATTTTCAAGTCCTTAGATGTGTTCCCGTGTACGTTTTATGTTTAATATTGAATGACATATTTTTAGTTTTCTAGAGACAAGATTTTCAAGTCCTAAGATGTGTTCCCGTGTATGTTTTATGTTTAATATTGAATGACATATTTTTAGTTTTCTAGAGACAAGATTTTCAAGTCCTAAGATGTGTTCCCGTGTATGTTTTATGTTTAATATTGAATGACATATTTTTAGTTTTCTAGAGACAAGATTTTCAAGTCCCAAGATGTGTTCCCGTGTATGTTTTTTTATGTTTAGTATTCCATGTAGCATATGTATAAATGCATTGAATTTGTATATTGGGTTCTGGGCTCTATAGAGTTAAAGTGATTTCAATAGCTTGACCTCTCCTCTCAACCCTGACTCACTTGCAGATATGTGTAGCTTCCTTCTCTCTACCCTTTTTATATATGGTTGATCACTTGCCATATATGGTGGATCACTTGCCATATATGGTTAAGACACTTGATACATAGGTTATAGGAAAAACTTATTGGCCATGGTTGAAACAAGTTAGAGACATTGGTAAATTTTGTGTTTTTTCAATGATTAAATATAAACATAACAGAATATATTTTTAGAGAGAAGATTTTCAAGTCCTAAGATGTGTTCTTGTGTATGTTTTATGTTTAATATTCCATGTAGCATATGTATAAATGCATTGAATTTGTATATTGGGTTCTGGGCTCTATAGAGCTTGAACTCTCAACCCTGACACACTTGCAGATATGTGTAACTTCCTTCTCTCTATCCTTTCCATATATGGTGGATCACTTAAGACACCTGATACATCAGCCAGGGTATATAACCAACATCACTGATTTCATCAGAGTCACTCTTATATCAACCACTCAGGATATACTACCTTTTGCACAAAACCAGGCAAAGCAAACAATAGGTCATAGGAATAAACTTATTGGCCATGGTTGAGACAAGTTAGAGACATTGGTAATTTTTATGTTTTAGTTTTTTTAGTTTTCTAGAGACAAGAATCTTCCTTTTTTGGTGATGGAAGAGGAGATTATCTTTAGCCTTCCATCTTTGACATCTCTAGCAACATCCAACATCCATCCATTTAGTTAACATTGTTTTTTCTACACTTAAAATTTTGTCATCTCATGTTTCTATTTAAATATTCCATTTCTGACAACAAACTTTCGTTTTCTGATGAAAGGTAGGCATGTAATTCATATCTTCTATTTAAGCTGCTGTGATCCTTGACTTTGTTATTATGAGTGTGGCAATTATCTGTCGAATTGCATGAGAATGCTTTTACATAGAATATTTGTAACTTTTCCCCATTCTTGTTGTGTAAAGTATTTTTCTCCTTTGAACTGAATCTGTTGTACTGAAGTGGACTTGTATTGGACTTGTATTGGACTTGATTAATTAATTGGACTATTGTGCAACTGATAATGTTATAGAATATATAGAACTTTTTGTATTAAATTATTATATGTTTAAGATGGTGATATTGGACATTCACACATATTATCACGCTTTGTGGCAATGATACTCCAGACATACTCTTTATATTTCTTTTTAACATTTTTCATAGCATTTTGACAGTCGTTCATGATTTTTTCCCTTTCCTGCGGGGTTATGTCAGGTATTCAATCAAGACTTCAATAAGAACATCTCACACTCAATCTTTGGTTGGGAGCTCCCACACTACACACAATCATTGAGGTAAGAACTAAC